TTATATATACATATTATATTATATTATACCATAGGTAGATAATGGTACACACATATATATATACATACATACACTCGCGAACGGTCGGCAGATGCGTGTATATAACACTTAAATAATATACTCACGCTACACAAGGCTACTTACCCTATAAATATATATATATACACATGAATAAACACACGTTTACACATATTTACGCGTGAAAGAAGCGAGAGTGTGCAATGAGTTGCGTTAATGTAGAAAAAAAAAAAATAATAATAATAATAGCCACTCGTGCGTACAAAAGTAACATACATATTGTGTAACTAATACGTATTAGGGCAGCCAATAGACGATACATACATATACACATATATTATAAACACGTTTACTGCGAGCCTCTGGGACATTGTATAATTGCAGTTATACTCGTGTGAATGAATTCTTGAGTAAATAATTATATACACGACACGCGCACGGAGCGATTTTTCGTACGCGCGCCAGTATTCGAGCGTGCGCGTCAAGCGTGTAAAACTTGGATGGTTTTTTTTTTTTTTTTTTTTTTCCGGCCAATAACGATGCTTTTCCGCGTTGGGCATTAGCGAGGATGCAAATTGTGTGCGTGACACGGTGACGACGACGGAAATTAGAGTTTATATAAATATAAATGTATATTGTTTATTTGTAAGACGCGCGGCCTTGGATTTTGGTCGTCGATTGATTGATTTCGCGTACGTAACTATAGATATCGGCGTTTCTTTTCTTCTTCCTGAATCGATATGAGACTGTAAGCACATAAAATCAAAGCAAAACTATTTTATCCTTTCAATTTCGCGCGAGTCTCTGGTTAGACAAGAGCGAAGGTTTTTGTTTTTTCCATCTCAGATCAACCATTATGGTGTACATAAATTCGACTTGGAAATTCTTTTCTTTTTTTATATAATAATTAAAAGCTTGGCTGGATTTTTGAAAAATTCGAATAAACCAAGAGAGACTTGCGCGGATCTGGTTGCAAGCGCGCCATGTAACATTTGCACATCTTGATTGACGCGTGTCGGCAACGCCTGTACATTTTTGTAATTAATTTCCTGCGATGGCCCAAACTCGAGCGAGGTGGTATTGAAACGGTAGAGCCATAATCGTTACACGGCCATATGCGACGAACCAAAGTCACCTGCAATGCGGTGTATCGAAACTTGTTTTTCTTTTTTTTTTCCCCGTGCAAGGGGGAGAGCTCGCACTATTTTATTTAGACCCCGTCACGACACACTTGGCTTGGGCTCGGCCACCGCAGGAATCTAATTTTACGTATACACTTTCAAGTTACCTCCTCCCACTCTCTCTATCTCCCTCTTGTTCTTCTTTTTGCCACTAAAAGTTGTGATGGAGTAAAGAGAATTTCCAAGCGGCAGCTGCCGACTGTGGAAGAGACGATCTTCACGAGATGAGACGAGAACGCGAAAACTTTCCAAACAGCCCCCGTATTTTTTTTTTTCTTCTTTACCAAACAAATCTTGGATTTCCCGCACACCTTCTCGCGGCATGCAACATATATTTTCATATACTTAATCATACACGAGCCGTTTCTCGAGACGCACCGAACGATTCCCCCCCCGGCAAGGGGTAAGAAAATCTCCACCGGGCATTGAAAATTCATGATAACCAAAGGATTCGTTTAACCCACCCGTTTGGATACACGCCGCAGTAAAAGTGTATTTCCCACCTTTACGCGAGCGAGGGAACGTCCGAGGGGAATCTGATAAAAAAAAGGCACGAGTGTCTCGCCGTAAATCGCCGCGTTCACGGTAACTAGGGGTGCTTTTCTTTTGGTGCGCGGTAGGGGGGGGGAGGTATCTTGCACCGAGATTTTGAATGCGCTCGAGTACAGCACCGGCCGTTCAAACTCGGCTCCAGTGGCCCGGGGACAAAAGAAAACGGTGGGGGGGGGAGATAAAATAAAACTGCGCGCTCGAAACCACCCCCCCAACCGCGCGTACGAGGGGAATTTTCGCGATTCTCGTATTTATACGCGCAACGGCGTCCACGTCTACCCATTGTGACTTTATATACGCGCACACTTGTTCTCCTCCTTTCTCTTGTACTTTTTCTACGATCAGCAAAGGTGCGCGCTCGGCGGCTTCATTGAAAAATTGGGACGGCGCTTTTAATCGCGTGTATATATATATACATATATACGTAGGGGAGGAAAACGCGTCTCCGGGGAGCTGTTGGCGGGGGGGGGGGGAAGAAAAGCGCGTCTCTCTCATCAGCCTGTCTTCTCTCTGTCTTGTCGTTTCCACGAAGAACCATACCAAAGAGTCCCGGATCTCGATCCCGACGCACAAAACCTCCCCCTCCTCCCTCTTTTCTCGACGCCAACTCGGACTGCGCGAGCGAAAAGGAAAAAAGCTCTCTCTCTCTCTTTCTCTCTCTTTCTTTCTCTCCGGGCAAAAGTTTTATGATAATTATTATTTTTACGATTACTATTATTGTAACGCGCGCGCGTAACGCAAGGCCATTGGGGATAAAACCGAGGCGGTGACAACTGCGGCCCGGACGACGCGACGGCAATGTATACACGCGAGAGCAGCCGAGACGGGGATGGTACCGGAGGTTCATTTTGCGCTGGAGCACGAACGGTGGTGACGATCACGTGGGTCGCGCGCTGGCCAAGATGTACTTATACACACGTTTGTTGTGCAAGTTCACGACGGTGCGCACGGATATGTACTTACTGGTGTTAACTGGATGTGTGTGCATGATAGTTGAGGACCGCGTCGATGACACACTGTATGCGTTTGGTTTATTTTTTTTTTTTTTTTTTTTTTTTTTTCACTCACCTCCCAAGCGCACTCGATCTCTTTCTTCGGTTAGTGATCGGTAACTTTTTGAGTTTCTATTTCTTACATGAAACGCAGTTGAGCAATACACGGGGGGTGAACAAATTTTTTTGTTTTCTTCAATTTTCATCGTTTCACAGTCCAAATCAACGCTGAGTATGTTGACTTTACTTGGAAGTAAAAAAAAGGCATAAATTGGAAGAAAAAACAAAAAATGTAAAAGGGTACGGCATAAAGAGAAAAAAGATTAGTTTAAAATCTCGAAAGGACGAAAAGCGGGGAAAAATCCATATTTGGCTGGAAGCTCGCAGTGAGAGAAAGAGATCGGGGCGAAGTCGGAGGGAAAAAGTTGATGAGGTTTGCAAAAAAATCGGGGGGTGACAGGGTCGACGATTCGCCCGTGTATAGCGAGCGTAATAAGTTGTGCAACGAAAGAGAGCAAAAAAAAAAAGGGGGGGGAGGAGCGGAAAAAGTTGTCGCTGTCACCCTGCGGATGACTTAATTAACGAGAACAATAAAAAAAAAAGAGGGCGGAGGCAAGCGAGAAAAGGAAGAAAATTGGTCCGTGTAAACGGTGGAGCGAAGCTGCGATGATCCGAAGAGGAGGAAAGAAAACTCTGCGAGCGAGCAAAAAATGAGGACTAAGTATTGTGAAAAAGAAAAGAAAAAAAACCGAAGGTAGCTGAGGATTCGACGGCTACACCGGAAGCGGCTACGTACAGCAACGAAGACTTCTGTGCGCACTGGAGAGAAGAAAAAAAGCAGAGGGGGATAAAAATTTTCATCCATACGTGGAAAGGGGTGGAGACTGAGTATGTCTCACCGCCCTCGCGCGCTGCGCTTTTCTGTACGCAACACGACGTCTCACCTTCGGTGCTCTTTTTTTCAAACTTTTTACTTGTTTTACGTTTTTTTTGGTCTGTCTTGTACGCGAGCGTGCGTTTACATTACTGTGCACGAGGACCACGAGACCGAGCGAGTGACTATTTTCCGTTCGTTTTGCTTCCGGATTCGTTCCTTAGGTTTTTTTTGTTGTTGTTGTTGATGTTGTTGTTGTTTTTGTTGTTGTTTAGAGCTCACTTCTTTTTTTTTTTTTTTTATTTTATTTTATTTTTTTTTTTCACGCACTGCATTTTATTTTGTGCTCGAAGTAAAAGTATAAAAAGCGTATAGTATCAAAAAGAGAGGGTGTGGGTGGGGGAGGCAAGACGCACCGAAAAAGTTCTCGCGGAGTATCGTCGAGTCCTCGAGGATGGGGCGGCGTAAGAGTGGAGGGATGATTCTGGAGGCGAATGCGCACGCTGTTGTATGATCCAGCCAGTCTCGGGACCCTATTTATGTTTTATATCAAATTATATATATTATATATATTATATATAAATANTTCTAATTTATTTATTTAATTGATTAATTTTATTGATTTTATTGATTAAAACATCATCATCACCATCACCTTAAAAAAAAATGTCTTGTTACTTGGTTTCTTTTTTTTTTTTTACGTTTTCCACACATCACTGCACATTATTATTATTATTATCATTTAAAAAAATGTGTTTTCCTTCGTTCATTTGTGTCCTTCTCACTGTATCCCTGATGACTCACGATTGCATGCTGATTTTTTTACACAGGTAGGTGTAATTATTATTATTTATTTTTATTTGATTATACTCTCCTATTTTTAATTTCAACCCGGGCGATTTTAACGAGGCTTCTGTCTATAAACAAACCATACAAAAGCTATATTGAATTTCTACGAAGTGTTTACTTTTTTTTTTAATCCATTAGTAACTTGAGATTCATGACCTTTACGGCTCCCATAATATTCGCTAATTGATATTGAACAATGTTTGAAAATATGTTGAATTTTTGTTGTTGTTTTTTTT